GCTCGCCTCGGTGACCTTGAGCTGTCCGACAGGAGCCCCTTTCCTGAGAATCTCTGCCCTTCTCGGCTCGCACCCTTTGCTCGCCTCACTTGGGAGGACGCTCTGGGTAGAGCTTTCCCGAAAAATTGCGCCTTGCAAGAGGCTTTTAAGTTAGATTAAGCAAAAGTCAAGACAGTGTAAGATGTGAACGTAAGTAACCGGTTTTGTCACTTGTATTTCAGCTGGGTCCGTTCCTACGAGCCTAGAGTTAAAAAAAAAAAGTCTCACCTTTGGAGAAGCTGTTATTATATTGTTGATGCTACTTAATGAGTCTTGGGATTGATCTTTTTTTATGTTACATTTTCAGTCTCGTCGTCCCTTAGGTTTAATATGTTCATGTATTAGACCTTGGATTAACAATGTTGTCAGATCTCATCCCTTAAGTTTAATATGTTAGTTCACAATTGTATAAGTGTGTTAAAAGACAGAATGACAGTGTAGGATCTGCAAGAGACCTTAGAGATTAATTAACTTCCATAATTTTCATGTGAAACTTAGATATGAAAAAAAAGGACCTTTCCCCTCTAATTTCAAAACGCTCAGTAACAGCAATCAGTAAAGTGACTTGAATAAATAATTTGAAATGAAATGTCAAACCTGGGGCTAAACCCCAGAAGTCTTTTTCTCATCCTACAATGTTCAGGGTTCCTGTCTTGAGGCCAGGCTTTGGATCGGAAAACAATATGGATTCTTTTTCAAGTGCTTTAAGTTCCTTTTAACCCTGAGTTAAGGTTAAGAGTTGTCTGCTATTATCGCTGGGTGTAATGGCAACCTTTGATCCCTGCACTGGGGAGGCAGAGGAAGGCTGATCTGAGTTCCAGGATAGCCAAGGCTACACAGAGAAACTCTGTCTCCAAAAAAGGGGGGGGGCGGAGCAAAATAAACAAAAAATTGCCTATTAATCCCACAATTTATCTAACTAAACCTCCTGCAAATAATCTAAAGGATCTATGGAAAATAATAAAATAATTTAGATGCTTGAAATCCCTTCTCACTACTTCCCCTCCCCTCTTACCCCTTTTCCTCCCCCCCTCCTCCTCTCTTACCCCCTCCCTGTATACATTTATAGATAGATAGATTTGGTTTCACTGAAGCATTTGGAAATCGGTTTCAGACATAGTGAACTTTAGCCCTATTGGTTTCAGCCTGTGCCTCCTTAAGGACATTACACAGTCTCAGAAGATTATCACACATAAAGATGACATTTAGATTGTCCTAATTATCTAAAAAGTGCTGTTACTGTTAGAATAGGGGCCTGCCGCCTTAAGCCCTCAAAGGCCAGATCCCACAGCTGGAAGTGATAGTCACCCTACCCCACCCGTCTCCCTGCCTCTCTCCATCTCACTGTGTAGCCCTGACTGGAACACAAAGAGCCAATCCCTCTCCCAGGTGCTGGGATTAAAGATGTGAGCCACCATGCCTGGCAGGGCCCATTTTCCTAATTGACCTCATCCCTGAAGGGAATTGTGTATCAACTTTCATTTCAGGGACTGACTGCTTCCCCAAAAAGACAATCTTTCCTGATTGAGAAGACAGTCAAGGGTCACACATTATGCTTAATGGCAGTGACTCTAACCTACATCAGCTAGCTATTCACTCTTCACAGCATTTTGAAATTCAGATTTCTTTGTGTTTGTATGTATGTGTGTATGTGGACTAAAGTGCTTGCCTGGTGCCTGAGGAGGCCAGAGGAGAGTGTAGAATCCGTTGGAACTGGTACTGCCAGTTTCGAGCTCTGTGGCTACTGAAAAGGAACAGGTAGTCTTAACCACTGAGCATCCCTAGCCCCTCTGCATTTTTGAAGGCTAGTCCAGTTGTCTTCAGTTATTGTGCAACGTGGATTCCCCTCATCACTCCCTCATGATCAGAGTAAGAGCTTGTATTTTTAGGCCAGACTGCCACTAAAGTAATGCTGTGTGCCTTAGGGCATCCCAGCAAGAAATTTTGCCTGCTTTGTGTGCTGGTAGGTTGATCCATTTAATTATGGTGGTGACAGTCTGTCTTACCAATGAAACGGGACAAGTTTCTTTCATAAGTAACTTATAGAGGTGCGTGAAGACCATAGGTATATTTTGTTCCCTCAAATGTCCCTTGGTTTTGTTCATTCATGGCATTGACTGAACCCCAAGGGTTGTGAAGCACATTACCTGTTCTTCGGGGATGAGGAGCAGTTGTAGTAACCAAGGATAGCAGAAGAAATTTAAGTCATATTAAGATTTAGTTCCAGAGTTGGTACAAATATGTGTATGTGTATGATTTACAAAGAAATAGAATAACCATATCCCTATTGTGCCCTTGTTAATTTTCTTTTTTGTTTGTTTTTCAAGACAGGATTTCTCTGTGTAGTGTCCTACTACTCACTCTGTAGGCTGACCTTGAACTCAGAGAACGACCTACCTCTGCCTCCAGAGAGCTAAAGGCCCAAGTGCTTTAGTCCCAAGGACTAAAGGCATGTACTTTAGTGCATGGCTTGTTAACTACTTTTCAGTATTAAGCTTCTGAAAATTGCAAGATGAAATAAATTTCAGGGTGCTTGGTCACTCTCTTGATCTCCAAAAAATGAATTTCCTTTCTGAGAAGGAAGTTAGGTTAGGAAAAACAAGGTATATTAAAGAAGAAATAACAAGCTGGGTGTGGTGGTACATACCTGTACTCTCAGTGCTATGACTATCCCAAGTTCAAGTTCAGCCTGGGTTACATAGAACATTCTAGGACAAGTGAGACGTGTCTCAAAAAGCATAACACAATTAAATATAACCATACTTAATATATGTGAAGATGTAGTCAGAGTTAAAAGAGCTTATAACACTGGGCTATTTGGACAGTATTGTGGTTTATTAGATGTGTCATACAGGTGTTAGACAGTAATGGGGGACAGCCTGGGTTTTACAGTCAGAATGCCTCAGGTGGTCCCACTTCTAGTTAATCTGACAGTAAGTTTATAGTGTTTGAACTGTTATATTAGAGTTACAAGAATTAGTAGAAAAGTTTAAGGTTAGCATGACGTTGTTTCTTTTTTAAAATATGCTAATGGAACTGTAAACTTCAGACTAAACTAAAGGGCCTGCAGATGTAACTCAGTGATGGAACACTTGCTAGCATTCAGAGTGCTCTGCTTTGACTATGCCCACAAGGGAAAACCTGATTAATCCTGTCATTCAGTCTGATAATAAAAATGAGGCTTTAAAATGAACTAGCTGTAGAGTGTGTGGTGCACACCTTTGATTCCAGCATTCACGTGGTGGAAGGGGAGATCCAACACTCACAGTTGTCCTCCTGTTTGTGTACACAGGAAGATAAATGAAGGCAAGCTTAAAAGTATTTTTTAAGCCATGTAGCAGCTAAGCAGGCAAAGGTGTTTGCTGCACTAGGGAAACAAACAGGCAGGTCTCTGAATACAAGGCTAGCCTGGTCTACATTGAGAGACTTTGTCTCAAAAACAAAACTAAACAAAATTGCCAACAGAAATTCAGGTTTCCTTAAAAAGAAGAGCCTTCTGCAGTCATGTAATAAATGCATTCAATTTTCAGGGAAGAAATCCAGCCTCACTGAAGACATTCAAGCAAAAGGCGGGACAGTTGCTTTTCCAGAGCAGAAAGGAAACTCATGCATCAGAAAAGGTTTGCAATTGGTGGGCCATAAATTCTACCTTTACTCTTAAGTGCTCTACTTCTATGAGATGTTGTTAGCCATAAAACTAACATTGTTGCTAAAGTCATTCTCAGATGTAAGTGAAAGCTATACACACTCTCCAGATTACGGAAAGTAACCCTGTCTTAGTATTTGCCTCTACAATAACAAGCCATTTGAAGTGATCTCTGGAAATCGAGATCAAATAAAGAACAAACAGGGCTGGAGAAGCTAGGCAGTGGTGGCACATGGATTTGATCCCAGCACTCAGGCAGAGGCAGGCAGATCTGAGTTCAAGAACAGCCTGGTCTACAAAGTGAGTTCCAGGATAGCCTCCAAAGCTACACAGAGAAGCTCTGTCTTGAAAAAAAATAAAACATAACAAAAAAGCCATGGCTAGAGAGATGGCTCAACAATTAAGAGCACTTAGTGCACTTCAGAGGACTGGAGTTCGGTTCTCAGTACCCACGTCAGGCAAGTCACAAGTGCCTGTAACTCCAGCTCCAGGGGATCTCACACCTTCTCACCTCTGGAGGCACCGCACCTGCATTCGCATGCATATATCCACACACAGACACAAGC